TTAAAGCATGGGCTTGTTCATGGAGACATTTGATTAGTACTTAAAAGTGCATTTTTATCATGGTTTTATATCATCATTTTGCACTTGAAGTATCAATAACTCCTTAACTAAAATATGTTTTATAAGAATGTATCTAATAATATAAGATATCTATAATTTGTGGTAAATATCTATTTTTAATGCAGGCCTATCACATAAATGAAAGGATTGATTGATGACTTGGAGAACTTAAATTGCAAGGATAAAGAGATGGCCAAACTTAGAAAAGAGATATCGGTGCAATCTAAACCGGAACACTATTCGGTAATTGGGTCATATCTAGAGCTATATATCTCAGATTTAGGTCCCATTTATATGGATGGAAAGGTAAGACATAGGCCTACAACTTTCATATGGAGCCCAAGATCTAAAAAGGCCATTATCAAGTCCAAATTGTAGCAACAACAAAGAAGCCCGAATCTATCTTCCAGCCCGAGCACTGTTCGGTAGTTTGGCCATATCTGGAGTTCTAGAAGTCCAAATGAGCTGCATTTTTTACACAAGAAAGCTGAGACAATTGCCTACAACTTTCATGTTTGCAACTGGCTCCAATTTTGACGTTATCAATGACGTTTTGGGCAGACAATAGAAGATAAGGATTGTCACCAAGTCAAAAGTTGGCCACCCACTTATCAATTAGTCATCAAATCAATAGTTCTCAATTTTGGCCTATAAAAGGAGGCATTTGCCATGCATTTAGGCATCTTGGTTTCTAGATCAAGATCATGCTCTTCCTTTCTCTCTTTGTATTTTTTGTAATGTTTATGCTTTGCTTTCATTAATATCAAGTTTATGCCTTTCATTTCCTTTCCTTTACTTAGTTAACTTTTATGTTCTTATTTTGTTTATTTGTTTTGTTTTCTTTCATTATGTCTAGCTAAGTTAATTATGTCAAGGTGAAAAGGTTACACTAATGGTGTAAGAATAAGTATAATGTAAACTTAATATGGACTTTAATGTTTGATACTAACATGTTTTATATTTGTTATCTTGTTCACTCTTTAATGCTTTGCTTGTTAAATGACTAATCTTGATTTATGTTGTATAACACTTGGTACAACAAATGCTTGGCACTTTCATAGCCCATAATGTATGGTATAACCGACACCTGAGCTATGAAAGCAACTTGATTTGTTGTTAACATAAGTTATAATCATGAATGCTTGACGAGATTTACAAGTATTAGCATTAATTGAATAAGATGACTAATGTAATCATGTTAACAATATATAATCTGATTGGAACCTCCTTTGTGTGTGGTTTCCAATTCAATAATAAGAGTTTATACTATACTTGTTTGATATACCATTAGTGGAACCTCTAACCTTGACATTTGTTATTATCATTGTTTAATTGTTACATTAATATTTCATCTCAAAGTTCTCATCATCATCATCATCTTCTTCTTCTTCTCTTTCTTTATTATTATTATTATTATTATTATTATTACTAGTACTACTACTACTACTACTACTACTATTATTATTATTATTATTATTATTATTATTATTATTATTATTATTACTATTGTTGTTGTTGTTATTGTTATTTTATAATTATTGTTTATAATTTGTACAATTAACCTCCCTATGGTTCGACCCCGGTCTTGCCGGGTTATTTATTACTTCGACACTCCTGCACTTGGGAGAAGACATCAATCTTTTAGTCGTGTCACATAGAAAATAAAAAACTCACCAATGAAAATGTTCGAGACATGTGCAGAGTTTTGGTTCTTAAAATTTTTATATCCCTCTTCCTGTCAAACAACAAAAGCAATCTCCCATTTGCATACTTAGAATATGTTGAAGATATAAAGAGCATTGCACAATACAACTACACAGAACATATGTTTGAATTTTTCAAAAAATCTTAGGATTAAAAAAAGACACCAAAATAATTGGTTGCATGATGATGATTTTGGTAAGAAAAAAAATCAACTATTTAATTGATTTTGTTCAAATATAAATCATATAATTCAATAACATTGAAAATTCAAATGAGCAGTATTGGTTTTGCGAGTACACAAAAATCATTGAATCAATTGAAGAAGAAAGAATATCAATGTGTACAAAATGAAATTTACTATATCTAGAAATAGAATTAAAAAAAAAATCATTCATAGTCACAAAGGCAAGTAAAAATTTCAGAGTTTTAAATTATTGTTGTCTGATTGTAAATGTCAATCTGTATTTAATATATTAATACCTCAACTTCATGTGTTACAATCTCAATCTGATCAGTTACCTTTTTCATTTTATTTGTTACTGTATCATTAATAATGTTACCGTCTACACATTCATGTAATTTTCAATATTATACTTAAAGGCCACATAAAAAAAAAATTAAGTTGTTGAATATTCAAAAAGTTGTCGAGCTATTAGAAGAAGAAATAAGCTTTTTTTTGCTAAACATGAGAATGAGAAGGAAAAAGAGATAAGATAGTTGAAATGTGATAATTATAAATTAAAATATCAACTCAAAAAAACCGAAGAAAAAGTCGAGATATTTGAAAAGATAAAAAATTTCCAAAATGCAAAAATTAAAAAGCTACGAAGAGAATATGCAGGAATCATAGAAGCATTAAACAAGAAGAATGAGTTGAAATATAAAAATTGAAAATTGAAAAATCAACTTAAAAAGGCTGAATAAGAGGTCAAGAGATTTGAAAAAGGAAAAAGATTTTCAAAATACAAAAATTGAAAAACAGTGAAATATATATATATGAATTATTGATGCATTAAGCAAGGAGAATGCTCAAATAGAAGCAAGCTAATAAAGCTAACTTTTGAAATGGCAAAAACAAAAAAGCAAGCTAAAAAAAAAAGAGTTATCTTTAAAAGTCCCTAAAACTAGATCAATAGTAATTGATGTTAGAGAAATGAAAATGAAGGAAATAGACAAGCAAAAAGAGGAAGGAAGGAAAAAATAAAAACTAAAAAGAATAAAAATGTCATAAAAACTAAGCTACCATAACTGAATAATGATCTTTAACTAGTGAAACTTTTGAAGAAAAACACATTGAATTTTAATTTGATTGACAAAATTCAACAAGATAAGTACAAAATATGATAGCAAAATCTTAACTTTTATTGTGTATAATGTCTAACTTTTGAACTGTTACTGTCTTAATTTTGAACTTATACTGTCTTAATTTTGTTTTGTTATTATCTATAATATCTTACTTTTGAACTGTTACTGTCTTAATTTTAAATTATTACTGCTAATCATATCTAACTTTTGAACTATTACAATCTTAATTTTGAACTATTACTATTGATTAGTACTTAAAAGTACATTTTTATCAAGGTTTTATATCATCATTTTGCACTTAAAGTATCAATAACTCCTTAACTAAAGCATGTTTTATAATAATATATCTAATAATATAAGATACCTTTAATTTGTGGTAAATGTTCATTTTAAATGCAGACCTATCACATAAATGAAAGGATTGATTGATGAATTTAATAACTGAAATTGAAAGGATAAAGAGATGGCCAAACTTAGAAAAGAGATGTCAATGCAATCCAAACCAGAACATTGTTCGATAATTGGGTAATATATGGAGCTATAGATCTCAGATTTAGGTCTACTTTATATGGATGGAAAGGTAAGACCTGCCTACAACTTTCATATGGAGCCCAAGATCTAAAAAGACCATTTTCAAGTCCAAATTGTTGCAACAACAAATAAGCCTGAATCTATCCTCCAGACCGAGCACTGTTCAGTATTTTGACCATATCTGAAGTTCTAGAAGTCCAAATGAGCTGAAATGTTTACACAAGAAAGCTGAGACAATTATCTAGAACTTTCATGTTTCGAGTGGCTCCAATTTTAACGTTATCAATGATGTTTTGGGCAGATAAAAGAAGATAAAGATTGTCACCAAGTCAAGAGTTAGCAACCCACTCATCAATTAGTCATCAAATTAATAATTCTCAATTTTGGCCTATAAAAGAAGGTATTTGCCATGCATTTAGACATCTTGATCTCTAAATCAAGATCATGCTCTTGCTTTCTTTCTTTGTATTTTTTGTAATGTTTATGCTTTGCTTTCATTAATATCAAGTTTATACCTTTCATTTCCTTTTCTTTACTTAGTTAACTCTTATCTTATTTATGTTCTTCTTTTGTTTATTTATTTTTCTTTCTTTCATTATGTTTTGTTAAATTTATTATGTCAAAGTAAAAAGGTTACATTAATGGTGTAAAAATAAGTATAGTGTAAACTCAATATGGACTTTAATGTTTGATACTAACATGTTTTGTATTTCTTATCTTGTTCACTCTTTAATACTTTACTTGTTAAATGACTAATCTTGATTTATGTTATATAGCACTTGGTACAACAAATACTTGACACTTTCATAGCTCATACTGTATGGTATAACCGACACCTGAACTATGAAAGGAACTTGATTTGTTGTTAACATAAATTATAATCATGAATGCTTGACGACATTTACAAGTATTAGCATTAATTGAATAAAATGACTAATGTAATCATGTTAACAATCTATAATATGATTGGAACCTCCTTTATGTGTGGTTTGCAATTGAATGATAAGAATTTATATTATACTTGTTTGACAGACCATTAGTAGATCCTCTAACATTGACATTTTTTGTTATCGTTGTTAAATCTTTACGTTAATATTCCATCTAAAAGTTCTCATCTTCTTTTTCTTCTTCTTTTTCTTTATTATTATTATTATTATTATTAGTATTAGTATTACTACTACTACTACTATTATTAATACTATTATTATTATTATTGTTATTTATAATTTGTATAATTAACCTCCCTGTGATTCGACCCCAGTCTTGTCAGGTTATTTATTACTTCGACACTCCTGCACTTGGAAAAAGACATCAGTCTTTTAATCATGTCAACTATCTTAATTTTAAATTATCTTATTGTTTCATTAACAATGTTGCGTTACAGCGATTGCACATGGATGAGAGAAGAAATATGGAAGAAATTCCTATCATTAGAAGACCATTTCAACATCCTAAATGAAAAATCCATCGCAAATAATATAAGTGTATCACTACTTAAACCTGTTTGTTACTTCAATAGAATATACATGGATAATTTACGTCACCCATATAAGTCATCGATATATTTTGTTGTCTCCTATTAGAAGATAAGGAAAGAAAAGGGATATCACCTCTAAAAAAAAATAATCATGCATTGAATCATAAATTGACGCAGTAGAAAGGGTTGTTTCTCTCTTGAGTACCTGGTTTCATTCACAGACAAAAAAGAATTTCCAATAAGATTTGATGATTGAATCCAATTTTACGACACATATGGAAAACTTCAATTGTTACAGGCCTTACATTGTTCCTTTGCAGAAGAGCATTTGTTTCGCCCATTGAACGCGGATGCTCTATCAGCTCCAGAGTTATACCACAGTTAACAAGAATGAATGAGCCCTTTATAACAATGACTATAGGTGGAGAATTTATTCAAATAAAAAACCATTGTGTTGAAACTAAAATTAATATTCCATGCACTTAAAAAAGAGACATGTTAGTTCTGCAATAGATCATCAAGCATGCTTGGCTAGTAAAAACTACAAGACAATATGTTGAGAGATTTTCTCACCACTGCTAGACCTAACTACGTATTCATCAACATCAACTCCAGGAAGGGTGAAGCCTGCCCTGGTCAAAAGATTGCCTGCATCACAAACTTGAATGGTACAAAATATATGTTGGCTCAAGTGATACCATTTTGGGGTAGATGGTACCCTCTCAAGTAATCCTTATAAGTACATCAGAACCAGATATTTCAAATCAGATTAAATGCCAATATATGTATGCAACACAGCCATGTGTTTACTTCAAGTTTCCTAAGGATATATGTACCCCTTATCTCAAGAAGTTCACGAATGGTAATTGCCAAGTGACAACAAACATACTTGTGCCAGAGGTGATATGCAAGGACTAATGCCTCCTTCACGCTACATTTGAACCACAGTGCATGGTATTCTCAGCTCCCTACACATGTCAGCAAGCAGAAAAATCAGTAGGCAAATTTATTGGTTAACATACTGTTTACTTTAAATCAAAATATAAAAAAGGATGAAGAGGCAACTTCAAAGTTTCTCCACCTGAAATAGCTGCTAAAAATAGGCCATCCGACTTCAGTGCTAGTTTACACTGTCATGAAAACCAATGAAATGGACAAGTGTCATAGACATGACCACATCAGGATTTCAAACAAAATGACAAGTAGAGAGATTTCATGACAATAACAACCAAACACAGCTAAAAATAGAAGAGAAATAAGGTTTACACGTCTACTGCTCTGTGTTTGTGGATGTTGTAGACATCCATAGCACTTTCAGAATACTATTGATGGTCTGAAATGTCAAATTATTTGCTGATGAAAGACTGCTTTGGTCTCATTTTATAGTCTTATATCTTGATTTATCAAAAGATTATTCTCCTATGCTTCAGAATAAAAAGAAAAAAGAAAAAATTTTGGAGTTATAGTTAAATTGAAGATAACTTTCAGAGTAGCGCGCGGAAAGCACTTCTATATCTTGCTATCTGCATGGCAAACATGTATGCTTCATCCTTGTAGTTTTTTCTCTTGGGGTTAATAATTCTAATGGTTTCCATCCTCTAATGTCGCATGCATTTACAAATTCTGGAGGATATCTTGCTATCCGCATGGCAAACATGTATGCTTCATCTGTGTAGTTTTTTCTCCTGGGGTTAATAATTCTAATGGTTTCCATCCTCTAATGTCGCATGCATTTACAAATTCTGGAGGATATCATGTATGAGAAAGATGCTAAAAGCTAAAAGAAAATCATAATAAAGAAGTGCATAACTGTATCATGGCTCCTGGAACATCATATGTCCAAAGGAGTCCCAAGCAACTGATAACCAAATCTACCGAACTTCATAGTCAAATACAAAACATAACATTTAAAACCAGTTCTTCCTGAAGACTAGTTTTCACAAGAACCAAATAGATGAAATTCACTCACATACCTTTCTTTTATAGGTAGAAACTCCTCATCTCCCATCACAAAGGACGTTTCAATATTCTGATTTGAATCTTGTTGAGCAGCTTCAGCATCCTTACATAATTTAACCATGTCATTTGAAGTGTCCATCATGATAAGCTTTTCAATGGAGCCTGGCATTTAAAGTGGCTACAAGATTAAAGTTTAATATTTATGATATAATTTACAAGAACATGCCTAGTGCAGGAAAATGACTAGAGAAAGAATAACAGCTTTTCCTATGTGTATGCTCAATTTCAAATACCACTTTGTGGTATCAAAAACGTGTTTCAAGTATTGTCTTATCAACTGCCAAAATCTCTGATAAATAATGTCACATGATTAGACTTCCATTCAACCGAATCCCTCCCTCTTTTGAACCTCTTAATTCATGATCACTCAACCTTACAGTTAGTGCTGAACACCCATGTCTCAAAACTGTTAAAATACAACCTGAAAATTTTTCAAATTATCTTCTATAGTTATTGAAACACAATAAATAGCAGGAAAAGTCTTAAAATCGATTCTCACCACGACCACATAACAAACGTCTGACAGCTTCCGAAGAACCTCCTAGACACAACGTTGCAGGAAATGTTTTCTTGCAATCCTGCAAAACACACAACAAACGGAATCAACAATCTGGAACTAAGCAAAACTCATCAAACTTCAAAATTTAAACTTCTAAAACTCACCACGACTAGAAAATGCAACTTCACAAAAATTAAAACCTCTCATTTCTTAATACTACAGCATTCTAAACATTCTTAAAAACAACAGTAGACAAGTTACTACCTCCAAGCGATCCAACAAATTGTCAGCAACAGCATCCACAAAAGGATCACTTGGCCTCATCAACCAAGCAGCTCGGTCACGCTGCAGCCACCCCACAATGGGACCAATACCCAGGAGCAGATATACAATATCGAATTTGAAAACAAGCAAAAACACACAAAAACAAAGATACCAAAATGTTCAAATCATAAATTTACAGAGAAAGACTGGATTTTTACCTGTTTTCGTTTGAGTTCCCGATCGAAAACCTTGACCCTTGGACTTTGTGGCCCATCGATGGTGTTATTGTCAATGTTTGTGCA